CACCGCGGCTGCCATAGGTAATAGCGATGAGTCACTGCCAAGAATTTCGTACTCAGACTGTAGCCATGGCATGGAACATAAAATTACATAGACTACAAAGAATTCACTTTTCAGCATTACTTTTGGTTTTAGCTCTTTTTGGTAAAATCTGGAAATATCTGAATTATTTCGTTAAATAGTGAAACATTTGCATTTTAGGTAAATAAGGTTTAATTTTGGTAGAAATACCGTAAAATTGACAAGTTTGGCCACACTGCTTTCGATTGTGTGAATTAATTGCAATTAGTACGATGCAATTAGACCAAAAAACGGTCTAACGTCAACATCCAAAGTAAAAGTTTCCCTCCAACTCCAAATTGTTCTATACAGTCCACATATTGTTTGGTAAAAAGTTACACCATTTTGAGCGTCGGGTTTCAGGGGGAGGGGGGGAGAAATTTGCAAATTAGTACTTTTTATCAGTTTCTCTTAAATATTTCGAAAAATACGAGGTTTAGCGCAAAAAGTATTATATACAAAAATAATCTACATTAAATTGCGAACAAAAATGGTAATATGTATAATTTTGCTAAAGAGAATGGTTCCGGAGTTACGGAAGATGTAAAAATTTTCGGAACTTTTAGACTTTTTGGAAAAATTAAATTATAACTACTATTTAAACAGAAATAAATAAACAATTTTATTAAAAAGTAATGTTCAATCGTTTTATAGTCCAAAAGAAGTTCAGAAGCATAAAAGTACTAGGAGCAAGATCCGGTTTAATAAAAGCGCGCCTGCTACTACAAAGCAGTGTTGCCAACCTGTACAAAATAGAAGCCGTACCGATAATCAAAACATGCCGTTTTTTTTTAACTACGGCCGAGTTATACGTAAAATACAGAGAAGTTAAATAAAATAATAAGACACAATACTAAGGTTTGAAAAAAGACTTTTAAAAGAGGTCATTTCGTTTGACAACGACGAACGAACGAAAAAAAAAAACGGAAAAAACAAACATTATTTTAAATATAATTTTAAAGCAGTTTAAATCTTATAATATGATAAAGGTGTGATCGTTTGGCAAATTAATATTAAAAGAATCATTTCGTACTTTGAATTTTTGTTTTTTTTATGTTAATAGTCAAACATGGTATTTAGAAGTGTTAAAGAAAAAAAGCTGTGATTTTGTTACACGGCAGTACATTAAAGCCGTGGCCATCGCTTCAGCTTCAAAAGACGTGAAAACACGGCAATTGCCGTGTTGTTGGCAACACTGCTACAAAGGCGCGCATGCGCTGGCCGACGCCGACCACTACCTGTCACTCGCTCGCGTTTTCATTTTCATTTTTACTGTAATTTTTAGTGAAGTTCCGCTGTCGTTTTTTTATCGTTTGTCTTTATACTATGCGAACTACATATATGATAAATGCTTGAAAGTGTGTGAATTATGGCGGAGTGTGTGTTAAAGCCTTGTAAGGACAAGGGTGGTGAACTAATTACTCTGACTAAAAAGGCGGTGGACAAAATAATTCAATGCAGTGAAATTCGTAAAGATGATGTTAAAAAGAAGTTCCTGCAGAATGACGCGCTTCAAGTACATAGTAAGTGTCGACAAACTTATATATTACGTCCAAGGCCACCTCAAAGAGAAATTGAATCTCCAGCAAAGATTCCACGTGAATCATTTGATTTTAAAAACATATGTTTCCTTTGTGGTCGCAAGTGTGTAGATATATCTAAATGCAGGTACCCAGCTCAAGAAAAATTTCAGTTCAGTACAGAAACTTGAACTAATTGAAAGCATCAGAAGCAAATAACAGGCACGACAAGTGGGGAGATGAGGTAAAGATGAGGCTTTCTCAGGTCATAGACCTCGTCAGTTCTGATAGGAGATACCACTGGCATTGTAACCAGACATTTCAAAAGCCAGGATCACAGCCTGAAAAAGGAGCAGCAACAACCAAAGGGGGGTCAAGTGCTGATGACAAAAGAGAAGACGCTTTTGAAAAAATGTGTGATTATTTGGAAGAGAATGACGAATGTCAGTACGCCTTTGAAGAATTACACAATATGCTCCGTGAACTGAGTCCCAAAGTTGAGCCATATAGTAACATACATTTGAAAAGAAAACTAATCCAGCGCTATGGTAGTAGCTTGAATTTTGCGGTTTTACCAGCGAAAAAAAGTGTGATTTGTTTTTCTGGAGCAACTACTAATACTTTATCAAACAACTGGTATAGAAATCGGAACTCTGAGAATGAAGCTCAGGAGGAACTAAGGGTGATCAAAACTGCAGCAGCTATTATCCAATGTGAGATCAAGTTCAAAAGCTACGACTATTCTCAGTTTCCATCAATTGAAGAAATTCGTAAAGGAGGAAATGAAGTGGTACCTAAAGTGCTCAATGTCTTGATAACTGTAATACTACAGCCTACTTCTAAAAGACAAACACCCGAGAAAATTCAAAGGACGAAACAAATTACTGAAAGGCAAAAAACTACTATATGTCACAGTATAATAAGCGCTGGACGTCCAAGATCATTTTTGTCCCCAGCCCAACTTGGAACTGGTGTTTTGTTACACAGAAAATATGGTTCAAAGGTCCCGGTCGATATCCTATACAATTTGGGTGTTTGTGTACCCTACAAGGAAGTTTTAAAATATGAGAGGTCGGTCACTTCCGAAGAGAGCACAAACATTGAGAACGGATACGTGCAATTTGTTTTCGATAATGCAGACTACAATGTCCACACTCTGGATGGCCACAACACGTTTCATGTTATGGGTGGAATTGCTTGCATAACACCTAAAACTGCTCTTCAGGTAGAGGATAAAGTTCCTCGAAAGAATGGTACTGCTCATGCTCTTGGAAAACGAGGTATGTTTGATTTGCAAACTTACAGAGCCCCAAGTACATCTGGCTATTCCAAAATAGTTGCTATGAATATGGCCTCCCTGAAAATAAAACCACTGTCATATGAGCATGGCCGATCACTTAATTTGTTTTGGTTCAGTGGTACTTGGTTGGAAGGCCCAAAATGTAAACCTGGTTGGAGTGGCTGCATGGAAATGCTGTATGCGACGAGAGAGTTCCAAACTTCCGCTGTAGTCCCTCTCGCATTCATCAATTTGGCTCCTTCAAATCCGTCAACAATTTATACGGCTCTTCTTAAAGCTGCCACAAAAGGGACCAACAATGAACAAAGCATAACAATGGTGAATTTTCAGCCTCTGTACGCTAAAGCTCGTGACATAGTAGCAGCAGCACCTGATGACAGCCCATTGAAGTCACTCTTCATTCGACTAGGAGGCTTTCACTTGTTAATGTCTTTTTTGTCAGCAATTGGATTTATCATGACAGGAAGTGGATTGGAGGAGTTGTACAGTACTGTATATGCCAAAAACAGTGTTCCTCAAATGATGAGCGGGAAAGCTTACTCCAGGGTTATTCGTGCCCTCTTCCTTGTCGAAGAGGCACTCGTTATTTTATTTTTGAAAACTAGTGAAGCTTTTATTAGTGTGGATAAAGATGAGCTTAATTCTATCTATTCAGCTTTCAAGCGTAGTAATGACTTTTTTGACGAGATTACGCAGTCACTTGCAGTAAAGAACTTTGTAGAAATTTTGGAAAATGAACTTCAACGCTTAAGAGAATCAGGACGAACACAAAACTGTGGAATCAGTTCATAGAAATGGTTGAGCTTGTTCGAATGTTTATTACAGCTGAAACGAGTGGGGACTTTCGTCTTCACCTTTATTGTGTCCAACAAATGCTCCCCATTTTCCATGCGTCTGGTCACTTAAACTACCCTAAATCTGCACATGTTTATCTACAAGACTCGTTGGAACTTCTCAACTCAATGAGCCCAGAAAACGATTTGTTCGTTAATTGTGGTTATTTCACTATACAAAGTACTGAAAAGTTTTGGTCTGGAGTCTGGAGTGATATGACCATTGAACAGGTTTTGATGAGATCCTTTAAGAGCATTGGCGGATTGACTGGAGGCAGAGGAATAACAGCGACAACTCTTGCAACTTGGATCAACTCCATACCAGCACTAAAACTAAAAAGGAAGAATGTTGCAGAAACTATTTCCAATATCATTCCTGAAACAGTTACCTCTGCATTGAACGATAAATTTAAATATTACGATGATAAATTGCACAGTTAGAAGCAGAAATAGTAAATTTAAAAACAAATTTCACTGTATCTACTGGTATGTCAAAAGAAGGTGGCCCAAAAACTATGGAGCAAAAACTAGACAATATTCAACAACATATGAAGAGTAAAGGCGAGAATACACATGCCAGTAAAATAGCATGCCAGTGGCCAGTAACTTGTATGCTAACTACTTGTCCTACGACATCCCAAAATACACATGCTAGTTTTGGGTATGCCAGTCTGTGAAAACTTTCCTTTATCTTTTTTAACACTTGGTGGTAGGTTGTTCTTAGGTTTTTTATCTTATTTTTCATAAATTTCAATGTTAAATTGTTATCAGTCATTTGCTTCAATAAAGACTTGTAAGCATTGTCTCTAGCGATTTTATTTTTATACAATGGAGATCATGTATTCCATAAACACGGATACTCCCTATACTGCATAACAAACAATAAAGTCTTTTCGTCTCCCAACGAGCCATTTTGCCCGGAACTAAACAAATAGTTCTATAGTTCAAGAATCCGTTTTTCACATGCGAGTTTCTGGTAACGATGTCGTTCACACACCTTTGAACATGACTCGCATGTTTCCTCCCCTCCATTCCCTCGACGAAATCCTGCTACTGGCACACAAAAATCAAACGTCTTGCGATCTACTGGCGTGCTATCTTCTAACCGTGCTTTCTTGCTGGCAAAGAAAGTCACACATGGAAGTAGCACGCACAATCCAGTAACTGGCATGCTTCTGTGCGTGTAACAAGCATGTGTATTCTCGCCTTAATAATTTGAGGCTGATACAAATTCCAGAGGCGGAAGGAGAAAATCTTACTAACAAGGTTTACGATATTTTCACCAATAAAATGAAAGTGAATATTAACAAATCGGAGATAACTGCTGTCTATAGGGTCGGTCGCCGTAGCGATACAAAACCTAGGCATGTTTTGGTATCGTTTACTGACAATTCGATTAAGATGACAACGTATAATAAGAAAAAGTTTCTTAAAGGCACTAAGATAGTTATTAAGGAAGATCTAACTCGGCATCGGTTGAAAGTAGTTAAAGCAGCTTCTGATAAGTTTGGTTTCAAGAACGTGTGAACGGTTAATGGCAACATTTTTGTAAAAACTGACAAGGGAGTAGAGAAGTTTAGTGTGAATGAATAGCTATGTTGTATTGGGGTATTTTTTTTCAGCGTTTGGTGTTCTTTGTACTTGTGTGTATTGTTAAGATTCATTACATATATTTTGTTTTTTGCTATATTTTTTTTTAGCTCTGAATATAGATATACAGTTGATTGTTTTTAGCGATGGATTTTTTGATTGGACACCTCAATGTCTGTTCACTTGTTCCTAAATTTAATAGGTTGCGGCAACATATACTTTCTAAGAAATATGCTATGTTTGTATTATCAGAAACGTGGTTGAATCACAGTATAAGCGATGATACAGTACCTATATATTCAAGGTTATGATCTTGTTAGGTTTGACAGAAGTACCAGGGGTGGAGGAGTAGGTTTGTACATAGATAGTAAGTTGAAATATTCACAAATTGAGGTTTCACATAATATTGAACAACTTTGGGTCTCAATTTCACTTGAAGGTAAATCATACGCAGTTGGAGTAGTATATCGACCACCACATTTCAATTATAAATATTTTATGGATGAACTTGAAGAATCTTTATGTGTGGCTATATGTTCCGTGAGGATAAAGTGATATGCCTAGGAGACGTAAATATAAATTTCCTCGACACTGAGGCTGCACCTACAAATTATATGCTTGACATGTTAGATTCTACAGGTATACAGCAAATAGTGGACGAAGCTACTCATATTACTAATACATCGGCGACATTAATAGATGTTATTTTTTGCAACGATCCTTCAATGATCGAATCTAAGCACGTTGGCGGATTAGATTTAACAGATTTCGTGTAAGGTACTACAAGATAGATATAAAATTGAACCACTCTTTTACACTTATCGGAGCTTTAGGAGACTTGAAATGGATAAATTGCATGCTGATTTGCAAAATCTTCCCTTAATTGACATATGTTACTTGTCAGATATTGACGAAAAGGAACTTGTTCAATCATTTAATTCTAACTTTGTTTGACAAGCACATTCCTTTGAAAACGTCCAAAATCACTAAGCCTAAAGCTCCCTGGCTGAAGGATGATATAAGGAATTTGATGTGTAATAGGGATGCAGCAAGGTCTAAGTATAGAAAAATCCGAACGATTCAAATTGGAATGCATATAAAAAACTAAAAAACAAAAACAATCATGCTATTCTACATGAAAAAAGAAAGTATTTTGATAAAATTGCTCAGAGTAAGGATAAGAAATCTTTGTGGTGAGAACTTAATTCGCTTAGTATTAAGTCACAGAAGTAAAATATTCTTACTGATTTGCAAGATGTGGAACATATAAATAACTTTTTTATTGACAGCATACCTCTGGTAATCATATTGCTTTATATTAAGATCAAAACAAAATATGTAATTTAGAGTTCAATTTCAAATTGGTATCTGAGCAAGACGTATTTGACGCATTAAGTAGGATAAAAAACTCCAGACCAGGAAATGATGGCATTAGCATACATCTCGTCAAATTGTGTGTCCCGTATATTTTACCATATTTGGTACATCTTATTAATACAATTTTTCTTGAGGGAAAATATCCAAAGTGCTGAAAAGTGGCCTTAATAGTGCCAATTCCAAAATGTAAGGAAGCTGAACAGCTATCAGATCTTCGTCCAATAAGTATTCTAGCTGGTCTCTCGAAATTGGTTGAAAAAATTATTGAAATACAATTAAGAACACATATTGACAGTCAAAGTATCCTTCCTAAAACACAGTCAGGTTTTTGTCCAGGATACAGTTGCACCACTGCACTTGCTAAAATAACTGATGATATCATTCAGTCGAATGATCTGGGTGAGTCTACCGCTTTAATACTAATATATTTCAGCAAGACATTTGACACAATTAACCATGATGTCTTGTTGTCTATCTTAAAGTCATGTGGATTGTCTACTGACAGCGTAAAACTTTTTAATTCATACTTAAGTGGCAGATCACAGTGTGTACAACTGAAGAATGAAATATCTAGTTCAAAGCCCACTACCACAGGTGTACCGCAAGGATCTATACTCGGACCATTGCCCTTCACTATATATACTAGTCAGATCCTTAAATGTTTGGAATTCTGTAAGTCACACGTTTATGCGGATGATACCCAGCTGTACTATTCTTTTCCTAGTTCAGATTGGCCAGCTGCCGAGTTGAAAATAAACAGTGACTTGACTAACCTCTCTAAAAGATTGCAAGAGCATTCATTAATATTAAATCCAAATAAATCAGCTGCTGTGATCTTTGGTAAAGACCGTTCTTATGTGATTGAGAATTTAAATATAACCATAAATAATATTAGATTAAAATACTGTGATAAAGTTAAAAACTTAGGCTTAACAATGGATTATAATCTGACGTTTCGTGAGCACATGTATCTGTATCAAAAAATCTTATCTGGCTCTAAAATTATTGTATCCTCACCGAAATTTTCTCAATTTAGACATCAAAAGAATTCTTTGTGAAACCTTGGTTTTATCACAGTTTTCGTACTGTGTTCCAATTTATTCTGCATGTTTAGATTGTGATACATTCATGCGAATACAGAGAACACAGAACTCATGCATACGTTTTATATATGGCATAAGAAAATTTGAAAGAGTTAGTCATAAGCTGAAAGAACTCCGGTGGCTAAGGCTCGTTTTGAGATATTCACAATATGCTTTTATCATAAAATTTTAACTCTCAGGCAGCCTCATTACCTCTACGAGAAAATAACATTCAGAAAAGACATCCATTCCGTAAGTATTCGTTCGAAACAAAACATTACCGCTCCATTCCACAGAACTAAACTTTATGAAAGATCATTTACGTATAATATACAGGGTGACTTTGAAGTTGAGTCATTAATTTTCAGATAATGATTGTAGAAGGAAGATAAACCAAAATATGTGTGTAAAAATAAAAAAAAAATTTACCTTGTTTTATAAAGTATCCTCCCGACAAGTATTTCAGTGCGGACCTGTATTTGATCGTGAGGTCTTGGAGCACCGGCATGCCGTCCATATGGGAGGTCCTAAGTCAAATGATTCACGAACCCGTTGTACTACATTAACAAAGGCACGAGGGGTTGGTTGCACTCGATTGGGAAACCGATCCGCATAAACATGTGCCATTTTTTATTTCGTTTGAGCCACGCAACAGACACCACTATTCACTACCGACTGACACTGACTGTATACAACTGAATGAAATAATTGTAAAAACATTGTTCCAAATTCTTTCGCTTTTTTGTTTCCGATGCGATGAACCGATAAGGCGGATTATATCCGTTGTCGCCAAACACGAGCACATAATATTATTGAGACAGGGCGGTACTCAAACTTCCAAAGGGCTATAACTTTGTTACTTTAATTTTACCAGAAAAATGGTAAAGGAAAAAAACATTTCTTTTGATCAGATCTACTCACTGTTAAAATAAATGACTCAACTTCGAAGTCACCCTACCCTGTATATAAGCTATACAATCCTATCCCCCAGTACCTCAAATAATATGAAATTCACAAGTTCAAAGCGGTTTTGTGTGATTCTTACTTTGAATGTATAAAGTAGAATTATTCTTAATTTCAATTTTATTTTGTTTGCATTCCATTATTTTATTTATATTTTTTTTCATATGATGCATAATGTACGTATATGTATTTATATATCATTCTAGGCTTTTAAATTTACCACCACGTTTTCTCTTTTTTTTCAAACTTAATTGTCGCTCATATTGGCGTTTGTTTATGCGGTATGTATCGGTATATATATATATATAACAACAAGTAGGAAAATAATGGGCAAAATCCACTTTCCTCCTTTTTGCGGATTTTGCCCATTATTTTCCTACTTGTTGTTATATACTTTTCTCCGCATGATCATATTCTCTTTGTAGATCCTTTGGGCTTGAAGTACCACAGCAAGTGGCTATAACCGGCCGCGTGGTGGTGGTTAGATGTCTCCTTGCAAATTCGAGGTCGTATAGCCATTTTATACTACAATGTGCAGGTTGGCTCTTGTTGTGGACTTCGTGTGTCGTTTTTTTCCCCTCCAACTTCGTTTCCTCAGGTTACACCCGTATCCGGATGTGTGGGCATGTGTATCTACTTTTGTAGTTTCATATGTGCATTCATTTCGGGCTTGATGAAGCCAACCAGCAGAAATACGTATCGCTCGGGTTACCTATCCTATTTTCTGCTCGAATCCACTTTCCTCCTTTTTGCGGATTTTGCCCATTATTTTCCTACTTGTTGTTATATACTTTTCTCCGCATGAGCATATTCTCTTTGTATATATATACAGGGTGACTTCGAAGTTGAGTCATTTATTTTAACAGTGAGTAGATCTGATCAAAAGAAATGTTTTTTTCCTTTAACATTTTTGTGGTAAAATTAAAGTAACAAAGTTATAGCCCTTTAGAAGTTTGAGTACCGCCCTGTCTCCCCCTACAAAATCCAACCCGTACGTCCTCGAGTTCGTTCTGCGGGGCGGCCTTGGGCGCTGAACCGTGTGCGACCGTGTAGGGGGGGCAACGGGGTGCCGGTCTTGCGGTGGACCGCCTCGATTAGTTTTTGAGGAGACCCGCCGGAAAGCCGGTAGCCCGGCCAATCGAATGATTCGTTGAGCCACAGGTGTCTCGGATGTATATCTGGGACGCCTGCAGCTCAACGGTCATCATGGGCAATGGTACGTTACCCAACCCAAGGTGTTAAGCGATTCCGTGCCGAGGGGTGCGTGGCGGTGGGGATGCACCGTCTTAAACGGAGCCTCTGGGACACCGGGCGACCTCCCAGAGTATCCAGCCTTGCGTCCGTGTAGGGGCACCGCGGACGTCGATCACCACTTCCCCTATACTCGTGGGAACATTATGGAACCGAACGATAACAAAAATAATAAAAAACCCGAGGCCCCCCCTACAGGGGACCCCGAACATCCAGGCGGCCCCTCACCAGGGGACCCTGATCGTACTCTGACAGAGGAATCTG